CTGGCTAAGTCCACGCGTGGGGTCGTCCACGCCGGCGACGAGTGGGATGAACGTGATCTGATCTTGAACAGACGTGTTGTTTGCCTTAGGCGCAAGGAGAACAGCTGCAAGCGTGTGCAAGCGACTTAGTCCAAGAAGGAGAAAACAAAAAGTGATTAATGGAGGTATATCTGCTGCTTGTCCTCCAATCCAACTCTGTTTCAATGTCTGCCGTCTCTTGGTTCAGTGTCGTCTGCATTGAACCCTTCGTCTCTTCGTCAGGCAGGGTTGATTCGAGTCAACCGTCACGCTGCTGACGTCGGCGAATCTCAACACTCCCCTAACCCTGTTGACGCGGTGTACTTGACCGTTTGTTTGGTTCTTGTTGTCACGGTTGGTGCATCAGTCCTTGCGGCGGGAGGTTGGGCGACGATGTTGTGTCTTGGGGACGAGCTACCATCGTCCAGCGTACGTACTTTTGGATCGCATGTTTCGTTGCGGTCTTGGTAAGGGCGTCGGCGAACATGTCAGCCGTTGGGACGAAGTGGAGCACGAGAACACCACCACGGACTAGCTCTCGGGGTAGTGGTGCCGCACGTCGATATGTTTTGTCCGCTCACTGATTGCCGTAGTGTTGGCGGTGGCGATTGCCGACTTGTTGTCGCAGTTCAGCGTCAACCATTCCTGTTCAGACCCCAGGTCACGCATCAGACCATTGAGCCAAACGGATTCGCGAGCAGCCTCGTCCGCGGCAATGTAATCGGCCTCGCAGCTGGAGAGCGCTGTGATGCGCTGGTGTGATCATGCCGCCAAGATACAACCAGCAGAAGCCTGTGGTGGATCGTCGGTCGGGGCGCGTCACTCAACTTGCGTCGCTGAAGCCGGTAAGAATTGGCTCACCAGTGCCAAATTGGATCCCATGTTGCTTCGTTCCAGCCAGGTATCGAAGAACACGCTTCGCACCAACAAGGTGCGGCGCCCTAGGGGCGTGGAGGTGGTACGACAGTCGTTGGACAGAGTGCGCGATGTCTGGTCTCGTGCAGATCATGTGGTACACCAGTGATCCAACCATGGCGCGATACTACCCTTGATCATCACTTGGTTGACTTTCGTCGTTCCATAGATCTTCTTGGTCCGCGACTTCGGGGGTGGCCACGCGTTGACACATCGCCATGTTGACAAGATTGAGCATCTTATCTGTGTAGGCGTCTTGTGTCATGTTGAGTTCGCGTCTCTTTACGGTGCGGGTGATGCTGACATCGAGCATGCAATGTATGCCACCTTGACGTTTCAGGTTCATCCTCGATGCCAACTCGTCCATGATGCGGTCAATTTTGGGTTGCGTAGGTGCCGCCACGGTGAAGTCGTCCACGTAGGTTCCCAGGATCTCCATGTTGGAACCGGTGCCGCGCGTGAAGACGCAGGGGTCGTGTGGACTCTGTTTCCACCCTAACACTGCGATATGTTTCTTGCAATGGGTCTCCCATTCGTGTCCACTCTGGTTGAGGCCGTACAGAGCCTTCTTGACGAGGGCTGCTTTGCCTG